TCTAATCCCCACACCCGTTCTCGGCCCTTTCGCCTCCCTTAGCCTTGCCGCCGTGCCCGGCCTTCCCCCCTCTTTCGCCCTTGACACCCCTCCCGGCCCTTTCGCAGTCGTCGGCCTAGCCCCCGCACTCGGCAGTTCCGGTTCGCTCGGCCCTAATCCACGCTTGGCCCTTCCGCGAGGGTCGGCCGAACTGGTAGTGACCCGTCGAAACTGGCATCGGAAGGGGGAGGGGAAGAGCTTCTTTTGCTTTCCCTCTGCGAAATTCGACCCAAATCGAAGAGCGGCGTGGGTAAACGCGGTGAAGCGGGCTCACCCGACAGACCCGAGGAAGGCTTGGGAGCCGAGCCAGCAGTCCCGATTATGTGGGGCGCACTTCGTCACTGGTAAGTCGCTTCAATCGCTGCTGAGAAAAACAAACACAAAGCGTTGGGTAGTTGCATGATCGTTACATTGCCGCTCTATCAAACAGGAAAACCGTCGCTGGATAGGCACCACCCGGACCATGTGCCGTCTATCTTAGCTCACCGGAAACAGCAGCCATCTCTCGATCGCTACGAGCGATGGAAACATCGCGGGTCCACTGAAGGTACGAAGTGACGATGGTCATAAAGGCGCGTTCACGCTGTGGAATTTTACTCGCGTTTTGAATTCGCCGTCTGAACAAGACAAGAAAAAAGACGTGCGTCTCGTAAAAAGGATGCGCGCGTTCATCGCTTCTGGAGCGACCTTTTCTAATGCCAGTTCTTGGAAATGTATGCCCGCCGACGTTTTTGTTGTGTTTGCGCTTATTAACTCCTCTGCCTGACGACGGTTGATCGGTATTGACTGGACTTTATAATCGTGCGCATATGGAAGCGCGAAATCTGCCTATATAACAGTCAGTGCACCAACTAGCCATTTTACATGACGAACTCATCTAATCGCGAGCTAGTAGTATTAAACAGCATCTTCTGGTTTGTGTGTGTCCTTGCTCGTCAACCTCAAACAAGCATAACCTTGCGCGTTTCATTTTCCAGTAAGTCCAAGTGGCCTGTACCAAACTGAGAATGTGGGCAAATCACCATAATCACACTCTAGCTTTACTTGTTTCGCCTCTGATATTGTATGTCATCTTCAAACAACGAACCAGTACGAAGTGCTGGTTCTGCGTGCGTGCAGCAGGGAGCATCACAGCCAGCAGCCCAGCCTTCTGCAGCAGCAGTACCCTCCTTGGCCCTTGCTAAGGAGCTCCCAGTTGCCGACCCCCTTCCAGAAGGTTCCGGCGGTAACCCATTCCCGTGCTCAATCTCAAAGGGTATTTCGAACGTAGAGCCACTGCCCGAAGGTAAGGATCGACTACTAACTCAGTCATTGCTACTAAATTATTATTATTAGATGCGGGGCTTATTCCCTTGCCTTGTTTTCTTGAGATAGTGTTCGCAGGACCCAGTGAAAGAATGTTAGGTGACACACCATCCTGAGATGATGCCGACAGAGCACCAGACCATGCGGAGGACACAAATCTAGCCACATTCTACTTCTACAATTTTTTTTAGGAACAGATATAATTTTATACCTGTTTTCACATCAAGAACCGTAGTAAAAAAAGTTCGCCGCCTTGTGGAGCATTACTGATTTCCACCTTTATGTAGAGAATTAAGATATATGTAGGTGCATTCTAGATTAGATGTATGTTATCTTATCAAGACATACACATTCCAAACTCCAAAAAGCGTTGCTTTTTTCTCTGATAACTAAATCTTGTAAGAACTACTTTGCCCTGCGTATGAACAATGCGCAAGACTCGCTTTTCTCTTGAGGTGAAAACAGATGTAGGTGCGACACACTTAAAAAGAGAAACGATTTAGACATTGCATGAGTGAAGTAAACATTCAAGAATGCTAGCACTAATCATTTCACATCCCTGAAGTAGAAAAGTAAAATAATTGCTTCTCTAAAATGCTATGCACCAATAGTGCAGACGGGCACGAGCAAACACGTAGGCAAGAATGTTTCCCTTCCAAGTGCTGTCATGTTGTCGTTGCACCAAATAGCTCGTCTCTTCGAGGACGTGTTGGTACACCATCGGGACATGCGTCTAGACCGCTGCAACCACGGTAGCACTCCACATGCACAATGAATTTTCACTCAGTCTGCCATGCCACGCCAACGTTGATCTCTGGCAAAGTGCTTGCCAGCGGGTCGCGGCCGCCGGGCATACACGTGACAGCTCTCTTCTTGAAACGTGATTGGTCGCTTCTTTCAGTCGCTCGAGACGCAGCATAGAAGTTTGACCCGATCCTACTTGCTCCGTTAGAAACGACCGGGTGCTTGGTGCTCCGTTGCTATGACAACTCGTCGTTGCAACATTGTTGGAGTTTGTAAATGTTCTGGCTGCCCCAAATGCAGATGCGTGAACGGGCCTTTTTTCCTCTACGCTCATTGGTTCAAGAAACCTGCATGTGACCACGACTTCAGTTTTTGTCTTTTGACTTGTCAGCTGGCCCATTGCCTTTGTCTGATATGATTATAGCAAGTTGCTCTAATCATACTCCAGGGCCCGTTTGCTCAAAGCGCTAGCCGCGGCTAAAGTTAGCCGCAGTACCTAGGAGAGGGATTTTGAAATCCCGTGACTGGCTCGGTAGGAATGCGGGGAAACATGGCGGCACCCCAGTGAGTAAGCGCCGCTCGCTTTGGAAATAATATATCGTTGTAGCTGCAATATCGGGCGTGTTAGTCAGCAACTAATGGTGCAGGAGGCTTTCAGTTTGCCTTACCTCACTTAAATTGCAAAGCATGAGCAATGACCTCGCCACATTATTTAGATAGTCTTTCGATTCTGGCCATTCCCTAGCCTAAATGAACGCGATAATTGTCGGCACGGCAACGTCTTTGGAAGGTGGATTGCCTTGTCTCAATCGGCCGGGTATTGATAGCATACAAAAGCAGACAGCACCTCAATAGACCTTTTTCTAAATTTCCCAAGCGCCGAGGTCCATGCTACGAGTGTAGTTACATGCATTGCACGTGCTGGCGTCTGCAGTAGTAATTGTTCTAAAGCAAAAAGTCGAAAACAAATTTTGCCTTGCACGCGCGTTCGTCAAAGCCTTATTATGATTATTTACTTGGAATCTATGGTCCGCGGGCAGGCCGCAGAATTACACTACCAGCGTTCTCGATGCTTGGGCAATTTAGAAAAAGGTCTATTGGAATGCTGTCTGCTTTTGTGTGCTATCAATACCCGGCCGATTGAGTCAAGGCAACCCACTTTCCAAAGACGCTACCATCTCGACAATTACCGCGTTCATTTAGGCTTAGGAAGGCCAAAATCAAGACCATCTAAAAAAATGCGGCGAGGTCATTGCTCATGCTTTGCGATTTAAGTGAAGTAAGGCAAAGCAAAAGCCTCCTGCACCATTCGTTGCTGACTAACGCGCCTGATATTGCAGCTTCAACAACATATTTGTTCCAAAGCGAGCAGCGCTCACTCACCGGGGCACCGTCATGTTTCCCCGCATCCCTACCGAGCCAGTCACGTGATTTAAAAATCCCTCTCCTAGTTACTGCGGCTAACTTTAGCCGCGGTTAGTGCTTCGAGCAAACAGGCCCAGCCTTGCTTGTTTTGTCACTAAAATTTTGTGTCCTTCTTGAACAACAATCCAGCCCCAAGGAGTGGTGCTGTCTCCACCTGTGTGCAGCAGGTAGCTGCACAGCTGGCAAGTGACGTCTCTTTGGAGATGCCTGAAGAGGCGGTGGAAGACCCATGCACTCAAGACTCCATAAAATGTGTTAATTTAATTGTTTGGCTGGAGTGTTCAGACCTCGAGGTCTACAAAGGCACTGCAAAATAAATTAGGATTCCCAAAAAGATTGGATCATAGGCAGCTGTGCCATCACAACAAATATTGACTCATGGGACTATGAGCTGCTGCTACACACCAGCATGTGTACTAGGTGGTTGCTGTGATACCGTGAAGGAAATTAAGTATTTAGATTATTATAGCCCTTCATATACATTTTTGAACTAAGGAAATAGCTTAACTCTGCTTAGGACATTGGAAAGAAGTTTGCTTTCTTTATTTGTTAAATGCGATAACATTTCTTTCGACTACCCCCCCCCCCCCCCCCCTTCCTGTTATCTCAGTAAAATTATGTAAGTCTTATAACAAAGAATGACTGTGTATGTGCAGGATTAATTAAAGAACATACAGTATATGCACCAGTCTACACTAGCTCCCAATTATGAGCTTGATGCTGTACACCTGTGCTATCTGCTACTGGATGGTGTAGATGACAACGTTTCAGCTGCAGTACATAAGTCACGCAGCTGACATGGAGTGAATGCATGACGTATGTATGAGCCCCCTGCATTTCATCACGAAATTACGCGTTTGCAAGTTTGGTCTTAGGGAGCCACCATCTTGCCCAGTGGGGTGCGCTTGGGTGTGGCCATAGTCAGATTATGACGCGTCCAAGCGCACCTCAACCGAGCAGGATGACAGTGCCCTGAAGCCGGACTTGCAAACATGCATAGAAGCTCTCCACAGGGGTACCAGTTAAAGCTACCCACTCCTGCTCATACTATTGTCAGTTAGTCATTGCGAGGGTAAGGTATAGTGTTGGCATGCTTTGCCCTCCATTTGGCACCAGCAAAAATTTAGTGTACTTTGAGCTTACAAGTAAATTCAGATGACACATTATGTGCAGAATAGGGCAACTTCACTCAGCATAAGATTCATGTGTCTATCTGTGCTTCCTTTACAGAAATGGAGAAGGATGCCGCTGTCGGCCTAATCATGATGGCTGGGAATCCTGAGGTGTCCAAGCTGCGTGACCTGCAGATGGCCAAAATGCAGCAGGTCATTCTTGATCTGCAAGCAGACAAACAACGTCTCGAAAGGCAGGTTTGCCACCTGCAAGCCAGGAAGCTTAGTCTCAACACTATCCAGGAGCCTAAGAACTGTTTATATTATACTGGGCTGCCTGAGTTTTCAGCTTTTCAGAATTTGTTTAATTTTCTTGAGCTTCGGGCAGCCAAGATGACCTACTGGTTAGGTAACAGAAAGACAGCTGGTGAGACCAAAGACCGCACACGGGAAATGTCTCTGATTGACGAGTTTTTTATGGTCCTCGTGCGGTTAAGGACAGGGATGGCAGGCAAGGAACTGGCCCGCAACTTCAACATTTCTGAAGGGCAGGTAAGCAAGGTGTTTGTTACGTGGATCAAGTTTCTCCAGCGACAGTTAAGGGTACTGTTACAGTTTCCGACAGTTGCTGAGATTCAGCCCAACCTCCCTAATGCCTTCCACAAGTTTTCTAACACGAGGGCTGTCCTTGATGGAACTGAGGTACGTATCCAGAAGCCGTCGTCGTTGCTTGCTCAGAGGCAGACCTTCTCGCCCTACAAACACTACAACACCTACAAAGCGGTTGTTGGATGTACACCCGAAGGGTACATTTGCCATGTTTCACAACTGTGGGGTGGGACTGTGTCAGACAGAATGATAGTTGAGGAGAGTGGGCTCGTGGATCAGTTGGAGTCGGGCGATGCCATCATGGTAGACAAGGGATTCAAATTTAATAGCCTACCACCTGGAGTGCAAGTGCACATTCCGTGTTTCAGGCAGCCGAACGAACCTCAGATGCCGGAGGAAGATGTGGCACACACCCGGCGGGTGGCCAGTGCACGTGTAGTTATTGAACGCGCAATCGGAAGGATTAAGCAATTTCACTTCCTTGATCGACCCTTCCCCATCTCCATGATAGATATTGCAGATGAGGCGTTTCAGGTTTGTTGCTTTTTAAGCAACTTTCGTATGCCACTCAGCCGTGCTGAGTAGCAGCAGGACATATGTGTCGGCTTCAGTGGCAACCTTCAGCTTGATAAACATTTTAGAATAACTTCCTTTTTGTGGTTGAACTCCAGGGTTTTGTTTTTAAATGCAGCACGTCGGAGATGGTTTTGAGGTACTCTAAATGGACCACAGGGTTCCGGAAAAGTTCTCACTTTAGAGCCATCAGTGAGCAGCGAGAACTCATCCGCTCGCGACCACGTGCTGGCGGGCGCCGCGCAAACAATATGGTAAAAGTAGGAAAGTCTCATCCGGGTCCGGCCACACCCGTCCGGCCCTGTCCCCCTCCCCCTCCGGCTTCTGGCGGCTGTTCGCGGTAGCAGAGAGAGCCGACGCTTTTGTGGATCTAGGATAGATGGCGCCACTAAAATTCCGTATAGTAAAAGTTTTGTCGATGATACCAGATTTTTGACGCATTTATATGCATTTTGGAAGTACAACATTTATAGAAAAGTTACCTTTTATCGAGCAGGTATTCGCACAACTTGCTATCTTTCTACAAGACTCCCCATTGACGTCACGCCGCGTGTTTCTCATGGCCGCCGCTCGCGGCTGCAGGTCGGGGAATACGTATTCTAAGTTTTGCCTCGCTAGTACGTGGCGGAATCGCAACATTTCGACGAAAGGAGGTGTGTTTTCTGTCATTTGTGACAAGGTGAACAATATCAAAAGCAGAAGATGCCAATTCTTTCAACGTTAAAATCGTTGCACAGCTCCTTTAATATTAATGTAATAGAAGGTTGTTTCTCGTGCACCAACGACTTCGGTTTTGGAATAATACCCTGGAACAGTAACACAATGCATCTCGCCCCTCTTTTCACTATTTGTCTCGTGCCCTTAAAGGGATACTACAACGAAATTTCGGCGCTCATTTTTTGGTCTATATGTGTTCAAAAAAGCAGCATCACATCGAACATACCAATATCTTGTTAAAAAAGTCATGAAAAGAAATTTAAAACGAATTAAACGATTAACAAAGAGCACCTGGTGGATGTCGCTAACGCCTCGCTTGTAATGCCCGTCTAGGAACCTTGACAGCTAGTGACGGAGGTTGTCTCGTCTCCGGCCACTACGAGAGAAGAGGGGCAGGAGGAACTCCCCTCTTCCCGAGAATGCCTTTTGTGTGTCGCAGAAGTCGCTATTGTCCCCCTACAAGATTATAGAAGATTAACCCGTCACTCAAAATTCGTACAAAAGCAGCCGCTTCGGTGGCTGGAACGACTAGGCCATCCTCTCGACGTCAGTCTCGCCGTAGCTTTGCTCGCCTTGAGACGACCTACGTCACGATTGCGTTGGATGTCACGTGTTCTCCGCTCGGCCTTCTCCGAGCGCTTGCCAGAGTGCGCCGTTTATAACGAAAAATACAGCCACCAGGCTCAAAATACAAACGTGCCATTGTCATTTACGGATATTGTGGATCATATTCAACCTATTTTTGAACACGACGGGAATATTTCAAATTTCGTTGAAGTATCCCTTTAACTCTCACTGGGGGACATCCCCTTTAGATGAGAGAAATTTTGCAGTACGACCGCTAGCATATGGTCTCTAACGTGCATCATGCAGTAGTAATAACACTAACGCATCCTGGTTTGATGCTCATAAAAATTAACGGGGGTGGTAATCGTACCTAGGATCCCTGGGCTTTGTGACTAGAGCTTTCGCTTTACATGCTTTGTGCTGTGACATGCTATGCTCCATTTCACAATAACTTGGCGAACTATGGAGGCTGCGGCCCCCATGATCCAATAAGAGCGTCGGAGCAAGTCACATGATAAGACTCCATGGTTGAGGCCTCCGAGGCGTCGTTTTTGGGGGCACCGAGATGTCGCCAAAGAGTTGTTCAATGTTTCATTTCTTTCTTTTTTGTGCTAACTGAACTTGAGTGATTCCATCTTTATTAAGAATAAATATAAAAAAATTAATGAAAAAAAATATTGACAAATTTTAATGATATTTAAACCGAAAAAGTAATGCGACATTTGTATTCAGTTCGATTTTTTTTTCTTCTTGTAGTGCCGTGGCCGTTGGTGATTGCAGCCGTGTAATCAGCCGCTTGCAGGGCAACTATGGTCGAAAACGGAACCAAAATAAATTACTGGTACCGCTTTAGTGGCACAACTCTCGGCCTGCAGACAACAGCCAGTTCCTTGGTGCAGTGACACACACGCTTCCGCTATGTGGTTTTATGTGCCTCGCTCCGACGCTCTTATTGGGTCGCGGAAGCTGTAAGCTCCACAGTTCGCCAAGTTACTATGAAACAGAGTAGCACACTTGGTCACCGTTCCCCCCTAGTGCCTGCCATGATTGTCCTTAATCACATTTGGCTGTGATCCGCAATTGGCATACGAGTTTAGATTAGATATATCAAAGTATTAGATGTCCTCATTTCATTATTTCATGTGTGTGGTCTTTGGTCTCAATGTCTAATGGGCTGTGCATTTTTTTGTATGATTATACATCTTGCCAGTGTGTTTTAGGAGTGCAACAATTATTATGACTATAGCTGCTTTTTACAGTGTCGATCTAAAACTCACTATCTTCCTTATGCAGTTCGGGCTATTGCTGCCTCATAGTTAGTGTGTTGAGTTCGGTCATATTGTGCATCAATTTTTACTTAAATCTGCTATGTGGGAAGTACATGAATAGATAACGTCAATTATCTGCTGTGCGTCACTGTTCAGATTTATGATTCTAGTAACTTTGTACAGCGTTATCTAGAACTTGCTCTTTGGCTTTAGTTTAGTATGCAGTTTGGGTGACTACTGCCTCGGAGTCTTTGTGTTCAGCTGGGTTATGTCCAGAGTTTCCTTATTTGAAAAACTCTCATGCACCAATCTTTGGTGTTTGAATATATTGCTTGGGAAGTACATGAGTAGCTAGTGTGAATTCTCTGTTGTGCATCAATAGCGAGATTAAAGTTTGAATAAGCCAACGAAGTTTTGGCTACTTCGGGTCTTTTTCCCTGCAAAGTCGAGTGTAATGTTAATGACTTTGACACGCTACCTCAACAAATCATGTGTTAATACAAGTTGGAGCTAAAAAATCTTTTTTTTTTGTTGTTTTTTACTCTGAACAGTCTAAGAAGGAATTAGCTCTGCTTGTTTATAGGCAAATGGTTTTCTATTTATTGTAATAAACTGTAAAAATGTAAACCACCACACCCTGTGTCCTGTTTTTCTGCAGTAAACACCATTCTCAAAGACACGGGAGTGGCTACAAAAGCACTGCCCCTGACAAGCATATTTATTTGGCTCTGAAAAGAGCCGTTGTGACTTGGAGAAGCCTCGGGCTTCATGCAGGCGCTCCTTCACTCCAGCCTACGCAGCTTCTTTTTCAGTCCGGGACCGTCCTCCACCACATAAAACCCTTTGCAGAACTTCTTGAAGGAGACGTACTGGCCGCGAGCTATCAGGGCTCTTCGACGCCTCACACGGCCCGTTACCACTTCTGGGAAGAGGGCATGCTTGGCGAAGTAGATAAGCCCTGGCAGCAGTGCTCCATCAACGAACTTCTTGTCGAAGGCGATGGTCTCGACGTGCGTCGAATTGGCAACAGTCGTGTTGTTAGTCCAAAAAACAAAATCGCACCACTGGTGTCCGGTCACTGCCATCTGCCCTTGCACCTGGTAGAAGTAGGCGTGAGTCTTCTTCAGTCGTACCACGCCATCCACAACTTCGCAGCAGAACTTCTTGTCCTTGCATGCCTCCATTGGTGTTAGCCCAATCTTCGAAGCCGGACACTTCACCTCCAAAAGGCCCTCTTCGTTGTCCTTCCTCACGATGCGGTCGGGCGATGCTGCAATGAAGCTGCACTCTGGGTGAATGTGCAGCCCAGTCTCGCGGATCTCGACGGGAGTGTCGAATGCTGCCATGAGTGATGCATAGGCTGAGACTGTGGTACCCTCGTGCGTCCTCCCATAGCGCATGGCCTCACTTGAGGCATCTGGGCTCGGGTACAAAATACCCTTGACCAGGTACTCGGGCTTGACACACTTGATGACAGCAGAGAAGACTGATGCCGTAATCCTGCCCTGCCGCTCTTTGTGCCACCTTGGATTATTGGCTTGACCGATGGTGGACCGGGTCACTTGTTCCCTCTCTTCCTCCGTCAATGTTGGAAGGGACTCCATGTGTTTTGCAACAACGTCCCGGGCATTCTCACTCCACAAATCTTCATCATCTTGGATGGGGAGCACTGGTGCCGCTGGTCCAAGTTGCTGTACACCACTGTACAGAAGCCACTGGAGGCCCGGTGTAGACACACTGAGGGCATCTCGCAGTTGCTGAATCTCCTCAGCCGAAGCAACACCAACATTCTCACAAGGGTCAAAAGAGCGTCGTTTCTTCTGCTTCACCGGCCTGTTGATCAGGTACTTGTGGAACGTGATGTCTGCAAGTGGCACCAGGGGAGCAGGCTTCTTGGCTGCAAAGAGAAATTTTGTCAGTTCAGTTCTAAAATAAGCCACATCTAGGTTTTCCATCTTGTAATCATGTTAATAGCTTATCATCCAAGCTGCTTTATGTAGAAAATGTAGAGTTTCACTTTCATGAAAACGAACACAAAAAGCATTGGCTGTTTGGTTCCACATTTATCTAGCAATGGAGGTGAGCTTGGCTAAATAATTAAGACAGCTTGGACGTTGGTCTTATTCTCCAATATATTAGGTACGAAGTAATAACATATTTCTGAGCAAAAGATTCCTATGGAGCCTCTTTAAGGGCCGTAGTGTACACACCTTCAGCAGGCACAATCCAGGTGCAGGGTATGTCGGTGCAGCTCGTCGAGCAGGCGTTGCAGCTCTCTTCGGCATAGAGCAGCAGTGCTGCAATATGTTGGCAGGACTGGCGTTTCCTGGAAAATCGAGGCAGTCAACCAAGACCAAATTAGCGGGATTATAGCTGCACGCGTAGCAGCTCTTGGTTGCCTTCGTTGTACACAGGCTGTCGGTGCATGATGGAGACATGCATCTTTTACGCTACCTAAGCCAAGGAGCAAGCACTGCGAGCATGAGCGATAAACCACATGAGTTTGCTGCTATACTCTTTTTCACCTTGTGTTGTACCGCAGGAAAGGCTATACGCGCGAGCTCCTTGCTCTATGGCACATCTCGGCGGCACAAGCTCCCGTGCACCGAGGGCAACTGCCAACGCTATGAGCTCGCGCTTCTAGCCGTCGCTGCGGTACAACATAAGGTGAAACGGAGCATAGCACGATGGGGTTTGTCTTGGCCAATGTAACTCGCGTGTATTCGATGAAATGAGCCTGGGCGAACCGGGT